ATGGCTGTGATAGAGATGGTGCTGATGACTGTCTCTTATACACATCTAGATGGGTATAAGAGACAGTATTTCGGCTACTCCTGTAGTCTTTGTCAACGCTTGACATAAAATGAACATATTGAGAAACTATCTTAGCAATATACAATTTGAGAAACAATACAGTAATTAAGTCAAAGCAAGTCGGCATACGTCTATAGAGGATTAATGATAATTTACAAATAAACAGTGATAAGGGTGAACAATGAATGAGCAAGTGGTGGACTGTGGGAAAGCATTACTAAAGTTAATGCATGGGGGAATTCATTCATCCATGGTTAATGGATAAGCTAAACATAAGGCATAACTAAAATTAAGAACAGGAAGTGGCTATGAAAAAAAAAAATTATATATATATAAAATAATACAAAGCAATATTGTAAATTAAATAAATGTGGGTATATAAAAGTATTGAAAGGCAAATAAAACATAGTTGTAATGATGGAAGCAAGAAGCCAAAATGATATAGGCCTATGTAGTATTGTATAAGGCATATAATATATATAGATATAGTGCATTAAAGTGTTCCCCTACAGGGAAACCAGGGGTGTTATTGCGGATGGAATGTTTATGGTTATTAAATCGTAGGCGGAATTTATTACCCGTTTCACCAATGTAATGGCCTTTGTTGCAAAGAGTGCATGATATAAGGTAAATAACATTAGTAGAATCACAATTTAGAGGTGGGGGAGACAGTTTATAGTCAGATGTGTTGTTAAGTATTATTGATCTGTTTGTGTTAATATGGCTACAGACCTGGCAGCGAGTTTTATTACATGTGGTGTTACCGTTATGAGTGCTGGGTGTACGAAGTTTAGATGGTGCAAGAATGGATTTAAGGTTAGGTGGCTGTCTAGTAGCAAGGAGAGGGGGATCCAAGAACAAGGGCTGGATAGTGGTGTCATTTTGAAGGAGGGCATAATCATGTTTTAATATTTTAGATAGTTTGTGAGTGTTAGGATTGAAATCAAAGACCATGGGGATGCGTGCATTATTAATTTTAGGTCTAGATGTGTATAAGAGACAGAGCTTCTGAGGAGAGGGTCTTATATATTCATATTTATCTTTTGAGGGGATAGCCGTTATTAAGAAAGTGGTCAGTAAGTTTGGTGACGTTAGTAGTGTAGTCGGTAGGATCAGAGCAAATGCGTTTACAGCGAAGCATTTGGCTGTAAACAATAGATTGTTTAAGTTAGGATGTGAGCTATGAAAGTTAATATATGTGTGATTATCGGTGGGTTTAGAATAGAGAGATGTGGAGATATTGTTGCCTGAAATGGAAACATTAACATCAAGAAAGGGGATAGACGTGTTACAGTGTTCCATAGTAAATTTGATAGTGGGGTGAAAGTTGTTACAGTGAGTGACGAATTTAGTAAGGTTTTCAAAACCGTGAGGCCAAATGAAAAAAATATCGTCAATGTATCTATAAAAATGCAAAGGTTTGAGATCAAAGGAAGAAATTAGTCTGTGTTCAAGTTCGGCCATAAATATGTTGGCGTAACTAGGGGCCATTTTAGTGCCCATGGCTGTACCTTGTGTTTGTAAAAAGTGCTGATTATTAAACATTATATACTTATATAGGCCTATATATGTACTTATATATACATTTATATTCTTATATATATACACTTATATAAGTATATATACACACATAAATATATATATACGTATGTATATATATACGTATATATACGTATGTATATATATACGTATATATACGTATGTATATATATATGTATATATATACATATATATATACGTATATATGCGTATATG